ACTCCTGAATATGACATTTTATGGACACATATATAAATGGAAATGGGTTTGAACTTTGAGTCACAAGGCCATATATGCTGGTTTATCGCTAGTTAGCTAGGGTTCTAACGTTTGACTCTAACAAAAAAGTCTTGTATATAGCACGATGGACTTAATTAAACTCGCAAGGCCCAGCTACCTCAAGCGCAACGGTTTTAGCTTTACTTTTTTATTTTTTATTTTTTTTTAACGGTTTTAGCTTTACTTAATGTACTATAAATTTTCAACTATGAAGCATATGTCTATGGGGACCCCCAAAACACACATTTATATATCATCTACACCACAAGCGAGTGGACTAAAATATGCCACCTATGTATAAATACGTGTATGTGATTAATTAATGCTCCGCCTTAATTAGGAAAGAGAATTTCCTTGCCTACCTTTACCGCATGTATAATATACTTGAATAATCTTAGCTCTATTATTTAATTACAGTTAAGGATCATGCAGAAATAATTATTTCGTTTCACTTTGATTTAAATTCTTGCACATAAAGTAATTTGCAAATTAATGAGGAATTTGGGGAGTTCTTATTTTTCTTCATCTGTTTTTGATCAATTTTCAAATTCTATTTAATCGTTATGTGTATTCTTTATTTATCTTGTTGATTCTGCAAGAGCAAAAGTGTTGCAGATGATGATGATGATATGAGGGAATGTGGTTTTCTATTTTTCATTCCATCTGATGAATGACATGTTTACATGATGATGTCATATTTGTGCAAGTGTCATTAATCTGACGTAACGGAAAAAAGCAATTGAAGGTGAAATTGCAACAGGAGATCTGATCCCTGGTCTGAGTATGCTCATTCATCACTTACAGTCAAATTAATAAGAGGGATATATATCGGTATAGCCTGCAAGCTTATATATATATATATATATATATATATATATATATATATTCCAATTTCCACACAAAAATATTATATATATAGTAACAAATTTCAGCTCCTTTTGCTTTCATTACTGATCATTCCTTTATCCTCGCTCCTTCATTTTTCTGAAGCCCTACAGCTAGCTGTACCATGAACATATATGCACTGCACAAATTGTAATTATCTTTCTTAACCTTTTTTCTTTTCATAAAGAAAGCACAGTGATAACAGTATGTTCACTCAACAAAAAGAAAATCATCCCAATTAACAAAATCCAGATAAATTGAGAAATAAAAGCGAAGGGAGTTAATCAAATATTGGTGGAGTGATATAGAATTGAAAAACAATTCCATATTTTCAGTAACTAATAAGTAGCTGTAGAGTTATTTCTCAAAGCTAGGAGCCCTAAATAGCAGCAATATTATTGCAATACAAAATATATATTTAGGCAATAGCCATACATCCTGATCAGATGTGAAACACTATGATCAATTAAAAAAAGCTAGAGACGTAGATCCAAACTCACATGCTCGTTGATGCTGGTCGTCTTCATTTCGTACCCGACACTTGGTACATCCTCCTTAACATTATTGAAAAAGGAACTAATATCGGCATGCCTGGGCCTGCCATGAGGGAGGGGCCGCCACATGGCAAGAGGGCTGCCGTTGATTGGTTCGTGGTGATGATAATGAGCCACGTAGGGGCTGGTGTTGGTGTAGAGCCTGCTGCTCCATGAATGATGATGATATCCAGTAGTAGTAGTAGTAGTGTAGGTGTAATCGTGGGCCTGCAGCCGTTTGGCGTGCTGGCGTTCCCTCTTGTGGGCGTTCTGGTGGCCGCCCAGGGCTTGTGAAGTGGGGAAGTTGCGGCAGCAGTAATGGCACTCGAATCTCCGCCTGCACCTCATATTTTCCGTTTCCTCGCTTAATTCTTTCCCGAAAAGCCTAATGCCTCCCGAGGGCTTTTCCCGGGCGGCCGCCGAGCGGATGAAGGGGAGCTCAGAGAAAGACTCCACACTAGTCATCACCTCGCGACTCTCTCTCTCGCCTTGGTCCATAATATTTCTTTTCTTTTCTTTTTCTTTTTTTTTAAAATAATAATAATAATATTGTTAAATTGTTGTTGAAGGGAAAAAAATGTGATGGGGGAAGGATAACGAGGGAGGAGGGTATATTATATGAAGGGGAGGAATTGAAAGAGATGAGATTGGTGTTGCATAAACAGTACAAGTGGGCCTAAAATGGAGATATTGTATGTAATTGTCCCTTATAATTACTTTGCTATAACCTTAATTTGCATGGTCCCCTATTTTTCTTGTGTTTAATTAATTTTTGTGGATATAGTTGTAAATTTATTTCCTTTTCAGGGGGCTAATGTATTTTTTTGCAACTATCCCAAATACAGAGTTTAACACATGCATATATGTATGATTGCATGATGGATGGGATATTTAACATATATATGCATGATTGCATGATGGATATGGGAAATTAATTATACAAAAATTGACCAAATCCATCAAAGTTGGGCAATATATAAGAGAAAATTGGCTTATTTAGGGAAAACAAAACTAGTACCTCCATCGACTAGAATTTATGTATCAAAAGTATTCTGATCATGTTGTCAATCAATACTAGCCAGTGTCGTATTTTCTTAAGGCGGGGAGTGCATGATGATTTTGGTTGTGACTAGTAAGGTGCAATCCATATATAATCGCCAGAATATGATAAAACTTAATTCAGCTTTAAGTGATCATTAACCTAGTTAAGTATACCAGCAGGTAGGGCTCACAGTTCACACTATTTCTTGATTGTTGAGTTTTATATAGATCATTACACAAGATCCATGATAATTGTCAAAAAGTAGTATATTAATTAAGCTTGGCTTCTGATTATGGCCACGATCAATTTTCTTCAAGTTCAGAATCCACTCTGTGAGAATTGGGGGGAAAATGGGTGCGATCCCGTTTTAGGGGAAAAATGATTGGGTGCGGTCCCGCGCATGTGAAGCGCACCATAAGCAGGGAAAGACTTATAAATTAGATCTATTTTTCCTATATAAATGATGTGAGACAACTTACAAGTGAATATTCTAATACTCATAAGCAGAGAAAGCAATTGATGGAAGGAGGAGTAGTCCATTAGATTTATAAATTAAACTTATTTTTTTTATATAAATAATGTAGAACAACTCACAAGTGAATATTTTAATACTAATTAATTAATTAATACGTCACCAGTAAAGCACTAGCAACACGAATGTCAATTAATTAAGGGGCTGATAAATTCCTTATTAATGTGTGTCATCTACACTCACATCAATTCTCAACAAACTTTACAAAGAGAAGTCTTTTTTTTTTTTTTTTGGGTTTTTNTTTTTGATGAAATTGGAAATTCTCAGGTTAATTTATAATTGTAATTCATATGAATAATTGCAAATTACAACACCAACTATTCGTTAGCTACACAACGTAAATGTGACAATTGGAAGTACTCTCAATAAGCTTAATTAATTAAGTGTATTTATGAATTATGAAGTAATATATTTACACAAATACACAATTGGAGAAGAAACTGATGTGGGTTGGGTCCGCGGCCGGCCCTCTCGGCTCTCATGCTGAGGATATATAAGGTACAACAATACAAGTACTTCTCGTCACTTCTTAAATTAATTGCTAGCTATTTATTTGACTGTTAAATTTAAGTATAGATCTATTGTTGGGGTAGAACAACAAGCGCAACGGACAAAAATACTCTTACAACAAATATGACAAACACTACTACTAATGAAAATAAGTCAACACAAAGAAATTAAAGACGAGAAATAAAAAGAACACAAAAATTGATAACGGAGTTCGACAAATATTGCCTACGTCTTCAGAGACCGCCAACCGCAATGCCAAATTTACTAAACTCACCAACAAAATACAACTAGGGTTAAATAACCCACAAATTAGGATTTCCTTAATTAAAGATTTCCTTTTAAGATAGAAGAGAATAGAATAAGGTGCAATTGTAACCCAAAGACAAGTGACATATTTATACTAAAAAGATCATACACATCTTTAGTACACATTCGATGTGAGACAAACACTTGATCAAAAACTAACATTTGCAATGCCAAGCGATGTTATCCAGCTTTTGCAAGAATCAAAGGTATGATGATGATGATGATAATGCCTAATCATCATTCTCCATTTTCTCTCTTTTGAGCATATATCTATGCATGTCATTTCAAGCAAATATCTATAGNAAAAAGAACTACACTACGTTGCGAATTTCGACCTCGTCATTTTCACTTCATTATGAAGTGAAAATGTTGGTTCCTTGGCTAACTATAAACATACATGTTAGGTGTGTATTTTATTTTATTTACCTAACAATGAACATATATCATTTAAATATGATAGTACAGAATAGTACTTTTTCCTTATAGAAAGATGCATGATATAGTGTTCCTCATGTCAATGCACCATGGGACAACCTTTTTTCTTAGAATTTATATGATCGTACTTATGGCTGCCCCTAAATAGTAGACATGGCCACGGGTCGATCGGCCCATCGATCCGGACCGAAACCGGCCCTGAACCAGTCACATAAGGGCCGGTTCGTCTAACTGGACCGCAAGGGCCGCGGTTTGGTCCCGGTTGGCCCTATTTTTTTTTTTGTCCCGGCGGTCCGGTCCGGCCCGATCTGGGTCGCGGGTTGAGGGCCGGGCCACAGTCATTTTTTATTTTATTTTTGTTTATTATTTTTGTTAAATGACCCGCACCGGCGGGACCGGGCCGGTCCGATGACTCGGCCCTAAGCAATCTGCGGTTCGGTCCCGGGCCAAGCTTTTGTGGACCTTCGGCCCGTTAGGCCGGGCTCGGACCCGTACTGACCATGTCTACTAAATAGGTGTAGGATAGGTAATTCTGCATGCTGAGCTGACAATTATGTTACTAGTGTGCTCCATCCTATCTTGCTTCTTTATTAACTGGAATTCAACAATTAGATAACAAATTAACTTACTATATATATATAAATAAATATATTTCGGTGTCACCAATCTATACTTATATTAAAAGGTATACCATTTACCAGATTTAGTATAAAGAAAAGTCAACAACATTTATTGCATTACTATTTCCGTATTATACACTCTATAGTTATATAAAAGGAGATTCTATTTACTACATTTACTATCCAGAAAAGTCAACTGCATTAAATGTCATTACTATTTTGGTATTATAATATTTTATTTATTTAATTAATTTATTTATTTGTTTTATTTTAAAAAAGTAAGTATAATAAAAAGATTTTAAGAATAAAAAAATCAAATACCAAATAAAAATGTACACTTTGACTTATTTGATTATATTTGGTATTTGATTATACCAAATATATTCCTATTTAGTATATACATTAAATACTTACTAAAGTATTTATTTGTTTTATTTGTCAAAGTTAAGTATAGATTTGTTTATATTATCAAATCATAAAAAAATATTAAATCCATATTGTAAAAAAAAAAATATATAATTTTATAACAATTCTACTACACTATTTAACAATATTTTTTTTTATTATATAATAAAATGATAATTAAATATTATATGGTGAATAACAACAAGTAAAACTGTTACTTTTTCTTATATCAAGGGATAAATTTATATGCTAAAATTAAATTTTTATTAGTATAAATGTTTTAGTGAGATAATATATTAATTATTTTACAAACTAGCCCTAACATGCTCATATTTAATGTTTTAAAAGATGTAGAAAAAAAACTTATAATAACTCTATTGTTTTTTAAGACTTAATCGTTGATTAAAAGAGGTAAAAATTCCTAATTTTTTAGACTTAAACGTTGATTAACACCATAGATTGAGAGTTCAAATTAAGAAACGTTGTTGATGCATATATATATATATAGTGGCCATATATTCAGATGGATGTTCATAAATAATCACAACACACCTCTTGTTACACACATTTTCTTTATAAAAAAAACTACTATCCCGAAATGAAATGATTAGCAATTGGAATTTATTAAGGTTTCGACGTTAATTTTTTAGGTCATAAGTGCACCATAACCTTCACAACTGTGATACACAATTGTGATAAAGCCTCTTATTTGTCTCTACTAAAAGCGGTCAAATTAAAGAGAGTCAATAATTAAAATCTAATCATTCAGTTGTGGTTTTTGGGTCTGCCTAGATATATATACATAGATATATTTCCTTACAGTATATATGCTATACGACTATACTGGTTTTTGAAAGAAGGAAAAGTCGCTATCTGCTTGTTCCCTTGTTATAATATGGTTTCTCTATCAAACAAGTTGGGTTGACTGAGATGTTGCCTATGCCTATGAACCAAAAAACTCCTTTTTCTTTTTTTTTTTTCAATGGGACATCTTCATATATTACCTTCACTTTTCCCCTAGCTCATTGCAGTTCCTAATTAATTATATTGTCATATGCATGTGTGGACCACATCAATTTTGTGGACTTGGTAATTTTTGGTTTTAATTGTTACAATATTGTTGCACACAAAAAAAATATTCCCTTGTTCTCAAAATATCCATTTTTTTATTGACACGAACTAACTCAATTCATCATGTTATTGATTTTCCTCGTAACAATTTCAAATCCTAGGCGAAGCAGTTGTAGTAAATTATAATACATAGCAATCTTCTGCTCTTATTAAAGAACGAGAGATAGCATAATTAATTAAACGACTCCGATGCTATTTCTATTATTGTTGAAGAAGCCGTTGGGGGAATAAGCGATGCTGCTAAGATCCGCAGTCGATGTAGCTCTTGAGAGGGCGGACTTCGCATTTGAGGGTTCTTATTAAAAACGAGATGTAAGAATATTGGCATCGTCCGAGAAACCTAATGCTACGTTTGAATTGAAAGATTTATTGACGGATTTGAAATCTATATATTTTAAACTTACAAATTCAAATCTCCATGCATGTTGGATGGTAATGGAAGTTGGAGGATTTCAAATTCATGCTATATATTTTTAGTCAATATTTTAAAGGATTTGAAATGACTCCTCAAGCCTAG